GTTTTTGAAATGTTTTCTTTAAACAGAAAAATTGCCTGCTGACAAAAATCAAAACCACTGGCTTCAATTTACACGTTTCTCAGGATGATAAATGTATGGCCGAAGAGCCCACTCCTACCTAAAGAAAAAAAAAAAAAAAGTGGGGGAGGGTGACGTTTATTTTATTTTCTTAACAAAAAAAAAAAAAAAAAAAAAAAAAAAAAAAATTAAGAAAAAGAAAAGGAAAATTCTTAAAGCATAATTTCAAAGTTCGTTTTATTTACAAATATACATGTTTGATGTTATCACAGGAACTTTAGCAAAACAGCAATCAAGTATATTTAGTCTCTTCAATATAGTTTACTGTGTGTGTGTGTGTGTGTGTGTGTGTGTGTGTGTGTGTGTGTGTGTCTGTGTATTAGTTAATATTATTTACAAAGTTAAAATTCCAAATAAAAATACCGATTACACTGGGGATGGGGTAGGGAAACAATTTGTCTGCAACCCAGATAAAGGAGTACCCTAATTCTGAATCTTTACTCAAAATGTCTTTTATTTTATTTTTTTTTTTTTTTTTAAGATATGCATATAGCATAATTTCACGAGTATTATGTTAATAGTCTATTAGTGAGCTGATGGCATGGGATTCATTTGTGTTTCACAAAACTTTCTTCAAGCTGAGAACAATGCCAATTTAATAAACATGTTAACCACATATTAAGGAATAGGATACTAGATGTCTAAAAATATAACATAGATGATTGAGCATAGCAAAAAGTAACACCAGGACATATCTGAAATGAAGTTCGTACTATCAAGGCTAGTCCAATCCAAACACTAGTGACGACTTTTGGTTTCTACAATGAGAGACCATCTCAATATACAAAACCAAGTGTCTGAAAAGTACTTGAAGGCATCAGAAATAAAATGAGTATTTTATATTTATCTGGAGATTTCTAATCATCATTTTTGTCGAACATATTATTTATAATAATAATAATAATAATAATAATATAAATATACTATGTATGTGCATATCTGAAAATGTTTATAGCCTAGGACACATCTGAGTACAGATTTAGAATTAAAAGAGTAGTTTTAGTCTGGTGACAGTATTTTTTGATGGAGTAAAAGATAAAAAGAAAAAAAGATTTTTCTTTTTCTTGTGTTCTACAAAGATATTTTGATATCTCGGAAAAATTGCTATTCATTTTGATTGAAATTTACTTTCCACGAATAATTACATATTGAACAAATAAAATATCATAAAATAAACAAACTTTATGTAAATAAATGATTTAATAAAAAAAAAAAAAAAAAAAAATTACATTTGACATCGCATGAACTTTTAAGTTACATAATATTCCAAATAAAAAAAAATAATACTGTAGTCATTTGTCAGTCTTGAGAGATTATGGAATCTACTAAGCTGGCTAGCTAATCCGTCTTTCAGATGTTCGCTCAGATAGATTTGTATTTCTCAAACATCCACAAGGCCAACTTGTAGTTTTTAATGCAAGAATATTGAACAGACCTTAGTAACAGTTTCTGGGAGACAGCTAAGAAGATCTAACATGATCAATACTTAAAAAAAAAAAAAAAAAAAAAAAAAGCCAGTATGCTCAAGCCCTTCAGTCACCATTGGCAGCATCTGAACAATTTTGTTCACCAAATTTCATATTGTGGTTTTCAGGCACTTACCAATGGTACTATATACTGGGATTGTCTCCTCAGACTTATCATCGAGAAAACAAACGTGAACCCAAGCCTCAGGGTATGAATGTTAATGGGCTGAATGGTTACAATACTAAATAAAACTAGAGTTAATGACTAATCCATAACATTAATGTACCTTTGACTAAAATCTCATCAGTATCAATAAAAAGAAAAAAAAATATATTAGTTATAAGTTAACAGATCTGTACATAAAGTGCAAAGATTTTTAGTTTTTATTTCTTACCAATTACAACTAATACTTAAAGGGAGCGAAAGGGGGGGTCACATTGCAAAAGAAACATTAGCAATTTCACTGAATAGAGTTGATAAAATTACTTGCACATTTTAGTTCTTATGTCCAGTTAATACAACATTTATATTTTTCTTCAGTCTTAACAAGATTTGCTTTTAATATCTATATGATTTATGCTTCTTAGAATTGATAATTACTTGGATATATATATTTCCAATATTTTTCCTTCATATCTATTCAGCAATGAAAAATGCAAAAAGTTTATACTTAGGTCTAAAAGTAATATATAATTGGCAATGGCTTGTTTATGTGATCACTGTACATGACCAAATGAGTTCATATACAGCCTCCAAATATGGTATGCATAATTAGTGTACCCACAGACAGTATTTAACATAAAAAAAAAAAAATCTTTCAGTCCTGATGAGGAAAAAGGTGTATTTCAGAGTCTACTGATTTCCTGTTACACAGAAATATATATTATAGTAACAATTACAATTTGTAGCCATTTGATGTAAGGCTATAATTTCTCCTATTAATGTCTGGGTAAGAAAAATAATTGTGCTTAAAAAAAAAAAATAAAAAAAAAAATACTTTTTCTACCAAAATATATTTGCTACACAGTTTTTTTTTTCTTTTAATTGAAAATGTACTGCTGGAGTCTTATTTTTTCTTTCATGTTATTAATTGAGATATATATTACAATATTACACACTGTAACCACAATCAATATCCATACACATATCTGGTATCATTAAAAATCAACCTTGAAGCAAGTGAATGAAATTTTTAATTAACAAAAATGTTATAGAAATTTAGTTATAAATTTCATATTAAATGATTAGGAATCAACACTGCATGGTAATTGTTAATGCCATGCCACTGATTATTTATTTGTATTTTAAATTTGTTATTTATATATTTATTTTCTTTGGTTTGAAATGGGATTTATTGGATTTTATTCAGTCTTGTGGCATTTTGATGCAGTTGTAAGTAGCATAGTAGGAATTTGTTTTCATGCTTGTATTTAGAAAGGAGCTATGATCTTTTGTTTCCAGAACAAGATAAAGATTATAAAAAAAAAAAAGAAAAAAAAAAAATCAAAATTTACAACCAAAGAAACTAAAAGCCATGACTTATTAACCTACAGGATGAGGCCCTAAAAAAAAGAACGGAGATCTAGGTTTTTCTTCCCCTACTTCTTAATCCTTATATGCAAAGTCAACTAAAGGAGTAGTGATATAGTCCGAAGACTGCCTCAGGCATGAAAATGACAGTCACAATGCAATATTGATTCCTATATCCATGCTGTCCATATCTAGAGATTATATACATCCAGCAATTTGACAGCACTTGAATCTGACAGTCTTACTAGTTTACCATCACAGTATTAAAGAATTGTTTTATTGCCAATTATAACCAGTGGTAATCCAATCTCGAGCCCATTACCCAGTATAGATGTGTACATTAGCTAGTAAAGATTATACCTGAAATGATTGTCATTTTCTAATGATTGTTTTGCATTTATATTTTGATCATTTGTCAAATTTTATCATACTGACTTTTATGGAAAGAGTAAAGTAAAATAATTATATTTGAAATGATGGGTTTTGTAGGAGAAAAGAAAAAAAGAGACTCAAGAACTATTTAGTCTCCGCTTTCAAAAATAATTTTTTTCTAAATAAAGTTTTTTACGATTCATAATGAAAACTAGTTTATTATTTTGAATATTAAAACCTGACAAATTTAAAATTTAGTTAAGCCATTTTTAATGCCATTCTTTGAATTTCCCAGTGCATAATGGAGATTATCCGAAGACTGCACACTACAGTTTACAAGGAATAACTGAAGGTCATCTGTATTTTTCTAAAATTAACATGGCGCAAAAAATATTTAATCCAAATGAATAGAATTGAGAGAGAGATCACATGAAAAATTCATTTTAAAAAATCCAAGAAATTCTTGAAGCAATCATTTTTCAAAATTGAAAATAATAATAAATCGAAAACAAACTTTAAAATATACATTATATATATATATATATATATATATAAAATACACTGGAAGGAACATCAGTATTCAAGTTACTGTCCAGAGACTGTTTTTGAATCAAAGTTTTGAATGCAGAGTTTTGTGGCCACCCTGCCTCCTTAAAATTCAATTGTGTGTGGACCGTCATCTGCTGAGAAGGCATGACCCTAAATTAACTGAGTTTGAATCTCAACTGATCTTAGTTTCATTTGAAATTTTATGGTATTTAATATCTACAAGAAAAGGAAAAGAAAAAAAAAAAAAGAAAAAAAAAAGCTCAATTTTTAGTTTTTACAAATTACAGAAACATGGCGAATATTCCTAGCCATATTTTTTATTCTTAGAATAAAGACCATAAAGCCCAATAAAATTCTAATAGATGAAATGATACTGATGAGCCATCAATATTTACAGATTGAGTAAATTTACAAATTCTGGTATTTTAACAAGAAAAAAAAAAAAAAAAAAAAAAAAAAAAAAAAAATCAATTTATAAGATCCAGAAGCTAAGTTCAGAAAAGAAAAACCAAAATCATTTCATTTTAACAAATAAGTAGTAGATTTAAATATAAAAAAATTAAATAAAATAAAGTCCCTGACAGATGATGCGCCAATAAAGAAAATATTTATAAAAAGAAAAATACTTAAACAAAAAAATAAATAAAATAAAAAGCAATACAGTAAAACAATTTCAAAACTTATAAATCGTAAAAATGGCACATCAAAAGGAATATCCCTCACAAAAATATATATCCAGTTACAAAGACAATTCTGATTAAACTGAGTATAAGAAAATATAGATTAAAATCATTAACTAAATCCAAATAAAACTTTAAGGAGATATATCAAGTTGATCAATGTAGAAGATAATAAAAGGTTGGCTCAAAATAAAGTACTTAATAAATATTATTACGCCTTGCTCAGAATTGGATTTTCGAAATGTTACAAATGTAACAAAAAAAAAAAAAAGATTCAGTCAATCAACATGTAAATTCTTTAAAGATAAAAATAAATCCTCAATTTCAAGAACATTCCCTGCGTGTTGTAACTATATTGCCAATTTTCTGTGTAACTGTATGGCATTTTTTTCCTCCTGCAAATGAAAACAAGAGAGAATTATTTTATCTGAAGCAGATCATCTCAAACTTTAACAAAAAATTTTATCACATCTTATTTATTGCTGCAATGTTCAATACTTTTGTTAGCCAGGGAAAGGATTTAACATAAAAAAAAAAAAAAATCTTTCAGTCCTGATGAGGAAAAGGTGTATTTCAGAGTCTACCGATTTCCTGTTACAGAGAAATATATATTATAGTAACAATTACAATTTGTAACCATTTCTTTTAGTAAATATTTATGGGCTCCTGGAATATTTGTCCCACAGAAAATATTGGCGGACTCATGCGAATTTGGGTTAAAAATAATAAACACAAATCATGGAAATAAAAACAAATGACAATTAATGCAAGTATTAAAAGTAATTGCACTAAAGCTAGCAATAAGAATGTGTGTGTGTTTGTGCATATGCATGGGAGTGCAGTTAACAGAGTATTAAGGAAGTGAACACGCCCTGGTGGACGCGTTCTTTATCTATGTTCAACTACATCTGGAAGCAAGAGGAAAAGAGAAAGAAATTTCTTTTTTTTTTTATATATAGACATAAAGAGCGCACACTAATAAGCGTTTTCAACAAAGCCAAGTGGGATAATCCACATTATAAAGAGACAAGGAGAAATTTAGAAATTATTATTATGGAAGTGTCATTCTTCATTGTTTTCTCTACAACTTCTCTCTTCAATAAGCTTCCCTTCAGGACATAGGCGATCATGTCTCTCTATAACTTCCTATCCTTTGTAGCCCTTAGTAGTTTTCCTCCCTTTCCTAAGGCTCCCATTGAGCTATCCATTCACACAATCTTGTCAGGTAAGTAGCTCGCTTTTTTTTCTTTTTTTTTTAAGCTTCAATAAGCTTATTCTTTTTTAAAGTTTGCTACATTTTTGCCACTGTGGCGCAGAGACATAGCTTCTCAGCAATACCCTTGTCTGTGTCTATGGCTTCACCCTCAGGACCATCAAGAGGGCACATGGGTTCAATCTCTTGTTCAATGTGAAGCTCCGCCAGAGGACTGGCCAGCCAAGCATCCTTGGCATCATTGCTGTTTTTGCTGGCACAGTCACATCCTGCTATGACCTGATGACCACCCCACCAGAGTCATCAACCAGTTCAACTCACCATTTGCAGACTCAAGACAACCTCATGGTAGACCACACAGCCATTGAACTAATAATCTGGCACTGGGAGATATTCTGACACTCTTCCAAGACCATTACAGCTGAAGGAACATGGTGGCTCTCATGGCCTCAATGCCTTCATGGTATGAAACTTAGTAACCAGTAATCAAGCACTAATCACTTTCTGACAGTGGGGGCATACAGTAAAGAAAGGAGTGTAGCTTATGAGGTGGTATGAAAAATTCTTGGCCTGACTAAGAGTAATGGCTTTGTTTCATGAAATGTAGATGCAGGTCTACATAGTCATGTCCCCACCCCCTGAATTTAACCCATTTGGCACATTGGGTTTATCAAGTTTCTTTAACATTTGTAATAAAGAAAAAAAAAAAAAAAAAAAATCTGTTTACTCATTGAGATGCCGATTATTGGGTCTGAGAACTTTTCTGCAAATTCTCATATTTCCAAAATTCAAAGATGTAGCAAATAAGTTTAAAAAAAAAAAAAAAAAAAAAAAAAAAAAGTAATTTCTGTCTGAATTTCTGGGATGAGGCATTATTATTTACACTAATTACATGCAGACTATTGACACTTTTGTTGTTATTACCTGATGAAGGCAGGAGGGCACAACAGCCAAAACATGATAACAACAAAGATGTGGACAATAGTCGACATGTAAATAAATCAAAAAGGTGTTCATTTATTGATTGATGCAAGACAACTTGAATGGAAATTAGTGAACTGAAAAGAAAAAGGTATTTCCTTTTTGTCATTGGTTTTATTTTATTTATCAAAGGTAATGCTGTCAGAAGTTATTGATGTATTGTTTACCTTAATGCTCCATTGGAGAGATAACGATTTATTTGTACATTCACTACCCACAATAAATTTCTAATGATTGGATACTGTATATACATGCGTATAGTGCAAGTTTTTATGATCAGTTTTTTTGCACTATACAAAAGGTAATATTTTTGGTTCGCACTATACAGAAAGGTAAAAAAGTTGTGGAATCTTGTTTCTAAAAATGAATGCAATTTATTCTTTGTATTTAAAGACAGAACTAAAGGATTGTACTTTATATATAGTTTAAAACATGTAATGATTAGACATCAGTTTCAAGACCTTTGAAGGAATAAAATGAAACAACTGCACATCATTTTCATTTATAATAAATGCCCTGAGGATTAAACAAAAAAAGCATATCTCTACAGTAACACACCTCTCTAAGAAATAATCTTTTTTTTTTCTAAAGTTTTTCATATTATTATCAATTAAGAACTCCTGAATATGAATTTAAAAAAAAAAAAAATGATTAATTTCTATAAATTTTACCAGGGGTTACAGTTTGTTATATAAATTCATTGTAAACTGATCTCCCTACACAAGCCAAAAAATAAAGGTAAGTTAGGGAAATAATAATAAAGAGAAAAGGTTAATATGCTTTAAATTCATATTTGGCTATTTTGAAATTATTTAGAATTTAGTAAGCATTATTTTAACACAAAACAGGAGAAAGCTAAGTAAGAATACATGGTTTAAATAATACATTTTTTATTTTAACTTGAAATTATTTGAAATGTTGTAAGGTTAGTAAGAATGTGCTTTATTGTGTAGTATAATCATTTTTCACCAAAAATAGGAGAACCAATTTACAATGTATATAGCAAACTGAACCCACTCTTAAAATTTACAAAAAAAAAAAAAAAAATTTGTTACAAACCTGAACTGAAATGTGATGAACTGCTAAAAAAACTGTGCTGCTGCTGTTTTTCATTTGCTTGTCTTTGATATTTGGTTTGAGGAAATTCAAAAAGTTCTTCAAAAGAATCAGCAAAATTGAATAGAACATCTCCTTCATCCTCTTCATCTTCAAAACCATCATCAAAAAAGTTACCAAAACTAAAGGAGTGAGGTTTGAAATACTGTCCTCTTCCCTGGGAATTTGGACCACTCTCAAAGGCTCTAAATAGGTCATCAAAGTTAAATGAGTGTGCGTGGTGTCCAAATCCATCTTGATCTTCACCTGTGTCACCAAAATTGTCATAACGCTCTCGTTTTTCTTTGTCCGATAGAATTCCATACGCTTTAAACAAAATAATATTTATGAATAATCTTAAATTTCCAGCTTTCAAAAATTTCAATTATAGAATAAACATTTTTTATAATCAAGATATGAGATGTTTAAATGACTTAAAAATTAATAATTAAATATAGCAAAGTGAATTCTAAAATTTCTTTAAACAAAAAGAGAGAAGAAAAAAAAAAATCAAAATAAAAACCCATCAAATATTTAAAACTAAGAAACTGTTACATTAAAGTGGTTTGTGGCTCAACTTGTGGAAAATAAAAACCATCTATATTCAGATAACTGTCCAAATATTTCACCATTATAGAAATTCTACAAACAAATGAATGCAGTGAATGCAATCTGATTAGCAGATCATCTCAAACATTCTTCACTGTACTCCCCCCCCCCAACATAAAATGGCCAAGGTAACAATCAACCCTGGACTTGAAGAGGTCAAGATTATAGTGATTGGGGAAACGGCCTGCTGGGAGTTTATTCATCAAAGCAGCAGTTCTTGAGAAGAAGTTGTCTGAGTGAAACTTCCTCCTTACTAATGGAACACAAAGGAAATACGGAGGATTCACCTTTGCGTACATGGCTGGGCAGGTTCCAGTTGCAATGGTCAGGGCTGGTGGAACCAAGGAATGCAGCTGGTCAGAACACATGCTATATAGAACTGGGTAGCTCCAGCACAGATATGGCAGCAATACTCCATTTTTCGTCTGATCTGACTCTTGTAAAAAGAGAGGAGTCAGATAATTACTGGAGTGGTACAAGGAACTGACCATTTTTCTGCATCTTTACCAGTTGACTATATATACATACAAATTCCACTTGAGGTCTGGAGTGAAGTCCTAGAAGGCATTCAATGTAAGGGGCCTTCTAAAGAGAACACACATCCATATTAATAGGTGTAAATTTAGGGTCTTTTTGATGTTAACGACAACCTACCTGTTGAGAAGGATGATAATTGATAAAGCCCTTCCAGAGATTCCATAGCTGGAGATATTATTTAGCGGTCCCTGATGCAAAACCTTGTTAAAGGTCTTGGATATATCTTGGGTGATGGTTCTTGTGATAAATTTATTGTTTAATGCCTCGATGATTCTGTGAGTAATGACAATGAAGATATCAGTTGCGGATCTAGCAGAGCAAAATCCATACTGGTTATTGCTCAGGAGGTTATTCCTTTTGAGGTGTTCAGCAACCTTCTTGTCGATTATAGATTCAAAGTGTTTGGTGATGATGCTAAGGTGGCTAATGGATTGATATTGTGATAGGCAGGAGTGCTCACCTGCATTCTTGAAAAAGGGCACACAGTTGACACCTTCCAAACATCTCTCCTTTAGGCAATGGTTTAACAGTACAGCTAGAATTGAAGATAACTCTGGGCTGATATTCTTAACAACCACGGAGATTTTGTCTGGACCAGTGGTCTTAAAGTCAAGGATTTTGATAAGTCTTTGAACTTCCCATGCTGTGATAGAGATATTACAATGTTTGTGCTTTGCAAGAAGTCAAGTAAAGGATGTAGTTCTAATCACCTAACATAGTGGCAAAGGTCATTGCAAAAAAGTCTTGCCTTGTCATATGAGAGCCATTTAACTGGCACTGATGCTTTGCTTCTATTGAAAATTCCATTCAAGTTTTCCCAAAATTCACAGGAACCAATTCTTTGGTTTCCAACCTTGGCTTTGAATGACTGTACATAGCTGTTCTTTGAATTTTCTAAAACTCTCTTGCAATGTTTGCAGGCAGTCCAGAATGGTTGCCAGAGTCCCACTACACCAGTGGTTTCAACTATTATTTTCTTTTTCCTCTCTCATTTGTAGATCTACTTACTCTATCCTTAATACTTGATATAATGCAAAAATCTCACTGATAAAAATCTGTCAATAATTATAACTATTTATACTGGGACTTATGCATGCAATTACAAGTAATTCATAATATTTTAAATTTTGAAATCATATTTATTTTGGCACATGAATTTTTTGAAACTGTTTCTAAATCTTTGATTGTCTTTCAATCATTCTGCCTCACCTGCTATCCTCTTCTGTCACACTATTTGGGAACCATTGCACTTCACCATTCTCTATAGTAGAGATGGTTGTAGTGGTTATGGTGGGTTATGGCTGGCTGGTTGGTTTCTGTTGGTATTTTTTCTTTGGAATAAAACTGCCCATTGCCGAGAGGATCCATTTAGAGATGAAAGAGACACGGAAACTCTATTTTTGCAAAAAGCTGAAAAGAGAACTTCTGCAATGTAGGATCTGAAGATGTCCCAGTCAGCTTTGGTGTACCAAAAGATTGTCTTGTGAAATATACATCAGTGGCTGCTTTCAGTCTGCTATCAAATTTAACAATGATCAGTGAGTGGTCAGAAGAATCCAAAGGAGGTAGCTCTTCAGCAGGACATTTTTCATGGCAAAATGTGAGAAAGAGATTCAGGAGGTTTGTGTGATATCCTGTAAGTGTCACCAACTCTCTGGGTCATATCATAAGCGACAGAGAAGTCATGACAGTATCTGCCTTCTTTGTCAGTTCTGAATGAGTGGGCTAACCACTCCTTCTGGTGAATATTAAAGTCACCACAAATATGAATGCTAGCTGAGGGATGGTCAAATATGATTTCATCAATTTCCACATCTATTTATTCAAATATTACAGATCCATCATCCTGTGACAGTGAAGATAAAAGACATTGGGGAATCTGAGTCTTTATTTTTGAGGTCTATGCAACATTGGGACCATCCTTAATATAAGTGTTAAGTCCATGGCTGTTGTGGTTTTGAGTCATACTTTCCTATTAGAGACAAGCAGTCCAGGATTTTGAAAACCTTAGGTTAGGATTGGCTTCTGACAGGAACAGGAGGCCTAGTTTGACTTTATGGAAATGGTGTTCAACTTCTGGGACATTGGATCTTAGACCCCTTCATATTTGTGTAGGGGATGCTGAATTTGGAATCTACTTTTGTTTTTCTGGGGTTGAGTTTGTATCTTCTATTTGCTTTTGTTGCAGACAAAAGCAAATAGAAGATACAAACTAGATATAGAGATTTTGGAAGGGAATACTACATTTTTTTTTTGAGGAAATTTTCCCACCTCCCCCCTCCCTTTATTAATTTGGCTCTTTTGCCTAACCATAGCTCAAACAGGAAATGGTAATTAATTCAGTTAATTTTTTTTTTTTTGCTTGCATGTTTTTATGATTTCATTGTTTAAAAAACAATCTTTTATTGTTCTTATGCATTCTGAAGCTTTCCATTGCAGATTATTCAAATCTGAAACATTTTTAGAATATAAGAATAATTGTTTTTTGTTTTTCTTAAAGTGAATATTTCATTAATAATTCTTTTGAAATAATGATTTTTTTTCTGATAAACTTAAAACTTTGTTAAAAAAAAAAACCTAGTTTCATTCTAAATTTTTAATCCTTTAAAGGTTGTCCCAATCCATCTTTTATTAAGATCCTCCCATTTATTGCATATCAAGAAAAATCCACACACACACAATTATTAACCCCTTCCTTAGTGTAGACATGTGTATATACATTTTTTTTCAGACATGGATGAATAAACACATCTAAAACATGTTCAAAAACCAGCTACAGAGGTGTTTATATGTCAATCTTGATTCTTTTTAAGCCCTTCTGAGGTTGAAACGAGTCCAATTGTCAACCCAGATATTTGCTAGGGGTATTAGCCACCACTCGGGTACTTCAAGGTGTCTCAGTTTCTTAGTTACTATATTAAAAACAAATAAAAAAATTATCTGAAATGAAATGTTTTACCCAAAAATAATTGGCAGGAAGGGGTTAAGACACCCTCAACAATTATTAAAACCCCACCCACTTGTATGTCTTCATACTAGCACAACCACCAAAGGCTTCCAAACAGTTCTGTCTGCCAAATTTAACTCACATTGCTTAGGTCAACATGTACTACAGTTTTTCAGTTACTTTCCAATGTTGCTGCCCACTGGCATCATCTCCCCAGACGAATTTTATTGAGAAGTCACCTACTTGACAAATTCACCATGGTGAGATTTGAACTTAAGGATTTATGGTTGGAACACTAACATTCTAACCACTTCAGCCATGTGCCCATCAAGAATTAAGGATTCAGGTAGAGGAAGATATTTTAGCAGTCATTTCTAAAAAAGATCCAAAATTTACAAGACTGCCACAAGATTAGAATAGACAATAGGAATTTCAGACTGTAAAGTTTTGTGGCAAAACTGCATAGATGCTTTAAGGGGGTGGGGTTGAGGTGAAATAAAATTTAACAGACTGACCAAATATTTGTTGTCATTGTTTACAAAGAAATATCAATGCTTCTAGGTCATTTCATTAGCTTTCATTTCAGATAAAACTTGATATGACATTTGTTTGTAATTGTCTCTTATACCAATTGGAAAACATCAGACTCCCAGGCTGAAAAGATTACAAATTGGAATTTGATATAAGAAAGGCACAATTAGTAAATAAATACTTATAAAACGATGACCTTTTTCAGCTGCGGCTGTCAATGGCTGTGATAAAGAAAAGACAAGTGAGAAATCAAAAGCATACTGTCAACATTTTGTTTCTGGGTTGGATTAATTCTATGATCCCTTGTGGATACAAAAATCCAAGGAGGCTTTATATAAAATGAAATCTCTTGATTACTGGTCATGGCTGTAAGGCTAATGATATACTAGAGATAATTTGCTTGCACGCCACTAAAGGAGGGGGAGAGAGAGAAAGTTGCAGATTCTAGTCAGAACATTATCATTGATAACTCTCTCCTCCAATTTGCAGACCCTAGTTACTCTTTTCTTAATACTTGATATAATGCAAAAATCTCATTGATAAAATTGGTCGATAATTATTTATAACTATTTATACTGGGACTCATGTATGCACTTACAAGTAATTCATAATAATATTTTAAATTTTGAAATCCTTTACTTTTGACATATGAATTTTTCGAAACTGTTTCTAAATCTTTGATTGTTTTTCAATCACTCTACCCCCCCTGCTATCCTCTTCTGTCACACTATTTGGGAATTGCACTACACCATTCTCTGTAGTAGAGATGGTTGTAGTGGTTATGGTGGGCTATGGCTGGCTATTTGGTTTCCATTTATATTTTTTCTTTGGAATAAAATTATCTGTTGCTGTGAGGATCCATTTAGGGATGAAAAAAGACACTTACAGCAGCTCTATTTTTGCAAAAAGCTCAAAGGAGAACATCGGCAATGTAGGATCTGAGTCTGTCCCAGTCAGCTTTGGTGTACTGTAAGATTACCCTGTGAAATATACATCAGGGTATGCTTTCAGTTTGGTATCAGCTTTAACAATGATCAGTGAGTAGTCAAAAGAACCTGAGTGAGGTATAGCTCTTCAGCAGAGCATTTTTCATGGTAAGATGTGAGAAAGAGGTCCAGGTGGTTTGTGTGATGTCCTGCAGTGTCAGAAACATGTGTGGGCTTACCAACTCTCTGTGTCAGATCAAAAGCAATAGAGTAAGTCATGACAGTATCTATATTCATCACCAGTTCTGAATGAGTGGACTAACCACTCGTTGTGGTGAATATTAAAGTCACCACAAATATGAATGCTAGCTGAGGGATGATCAGAGAAGATATCAATCTTTTCAGCTACTTGGTCAAAAATTACAAAATCATCATCATGTAGATGATAGACAGTAAAAATGAAAGCTATACAATGGTGGAGGTCATGTCAAAGTACATGGAGCAGGAAAACCAGGTCTTCTTTTTTAGGGTCACTACCACATGGGAACCTATCCTTAATATTGGCACTGAGTTCATGGCAATTTCAAGGGCAATGTTTTAGGAGCAAATAATCCAGGATAGATAGGGTAAGACTAGTTTCCAACAGGGACATGAGATCTGGTTTGGCCTCTTCAAAAAGGTGTTCAACTTCTGGAATCTTGGATTGTAGACCCCACTCTCACATTTGTGTAGGATTGATTTGATCTGGTTTTTTTTTATGGCTTATCAACCTTTTGCAGGTTATTTAAAGACAATATTTTTACACTGTAAGAATATTTTTGGAAATAATGATTTACTGATACAATCCTTCTGGGAGGAGGAGAGATAGATAGGGTATTTGCTTGTAAGTGAATATAACAAACCCAACTGAAGAAAGAAAAGAAAGAAAAAAGAAAGAAAAGAAAGAAAAACTTACCTTTGCTAATTTCTATAAATTTTTTTTCAGCCTCTGGATCGTCCTTATTTCTGTCTGGGTGATATTTGAGGGCCAATTTTCTGAATGCACTTTTTATTGTTTTTTCTGATGCACTTCGTTTTACACCCAAAACCTCATAAAGATCTTTACTTTCTGAAGCACTTGCAACAATACTTAATAGTCCAAACAAGAGAATCACGTTTTTACAGTGCATGTTTGCTAAAAAGAAAACTCTGGAATAAAAACAAGAACTTGTCACAATAAAGAAAAATATTTCTATAGAAAATATAGAAAACTCAATCATCTTAATAGTATTTATTTCTAGATTTATCCATTTCTAAACTTAAAACCAGCATCAAAAAACTTAGATTAACTAATTAAAATTTTAATTTTAACTAATTAAAACTAATTAACATTACTGTTAAGAGTCTAGAAATATTCCTTCTTATTTTAAAAATGTCCAAGCATGAAAGTTGTTAATAAAAGCAAGAACAAGTTAGGGGTTACAAAAGAAATCAAATTTATCTAATCTATAAAGCTCAAAATGTGTCTTTTCTCAGAAATCCCTGAGAATTAATTATACAGTCAAGTTGGTTGTTTCTATATGTATTCAAATATCATGTAAAATAGTGACATCAAAGAAAAAAATTTAGTTTTTGCTATATCTACTATCATGTTGTATTATATCTAATTATAACTATTACGCATGTTTAGTATTAAAAAAAAAAAAAAAAATCAAATTTGGTTACTTGTGATCTTTATAAATAAACAGTTATGTTGATGGCTCTTATAAACAAAGTAGTAATTCAAATGAAACCCATTTTTGCTCTGAAACTGGCAACTACTTTAGCATTTAGATCACAGCTTAAAATTAAAGTGAAGTTAGCAATTTGGATATTTCTCAATACCATAGTTTGAAAATGTAACACAGAAATACTAACCTACCATATATGAGATAAATGATTAAATAAATTATTGAACTATTTTAATTATGATAATTTTGCAAATAATTTTGCTAATACCTTTTTATGGTATACACAAACCTTTAAGAGAAAGATTGGTGCATACAATAAAGAAATAGCAGAGCAAAAGAAAGGTAGTTGGCCCATACAATATTGGGTATTGTTAGTTTTCAGTCAAGTGAAACCTACAAGAGGTGATTTTTTTTTCTCAAAACATAATAACATTTGCCAACTAAGGAATTGTTATTTTTACTTTTTGGCCCACATAACATCAAAGAGGACATTTTTCACCTTCATATAGAATCTAAATTTTGCTGAATCTTCAAACATTTAATTTCATGGAATCACAAAATTGCTAATTGACTTTTAAATCATTTTACTCTCCAGGAGAAACATCCAATTTATAAAAACATGGAATCAAGTTGAGAAAGTTAGATTTTTAACCAAAATATTTTCATTTGACAATTAACAATTAGATTTTCTAAGCTGCCACTTGTAACCTGTCTACCAGCTTTTGTGAGTCAGATATTGATAATGTTGCCACCTGGTTAAATATTGACAAGGACTTATTTGATTGTCCATTAAGTGACCTCATTTCTCTGTCACAAAAAAATAAAATGCAAGTTATTCTGCCAAATGCCAACATACAAGCTGTTAACATTCAACATAAATGTTTTTGAATTTAAAAAAAAAATGTTTTAAATAGAGAAATCACCTAGAGGAAAAAATATTTACTTAAAGCTATTACGACCAACAGTTAAAAAATTTAGAACAGTAATGAATTTTTATTTTAGTATATAAAACAGTTTTTTCAACCTTATACACTTGATGTCAGGTGACTATCTCTCACACACAGTTTATGACCAATCATATAACAAGTCAGAGCCATTAAATAAATATAATCAAACTTTTATTCATTCTAATGATTACATTTGGATCAACATACCAAATCGTGGTAGGTTGGGGTAAGCAATAAATAAATAAAAATAAAATAAAAAAATAATTATAAATACATTTTAGCATGAGCTGAATGCGTGTGTGCGTGCGTGCGTGTGTGTAAAATTTTAACTTTTTTTTAGTCACTACCCACTGACTTTACTCCTACTCCAATTGTCCTGGGTATGACGTTAAACTACACCCGCTTCCTGGGTAAGACAATAAACTATGTTCAACAGCAAGGCCTCTGATCAGGAGGTTTTGAGGGGCATGGAACCACCTCTTAAGTGCTGGTGTTCCCAGGTCCACCCTAATCTGGGGTGGTAGCACCTGTTAGGGTCCCAGCTATGGGCAAATAGTTAACACCCAGACTACATCCACATCCTGGGTATGACGATAAACTATGTCCAACAGCAAGGCCTCTAATAATACTTTTTTGAAAAAATAATGTTGCCAGCTGTACGTTTTTGAAAAATAACATCAGCTATAGGTTTTGAAAGAATAGTGTTGCTGGCTATACATTTTTGAAAAAATAATATTACCAGCTACACGTTTTTGAAAAAAATAATATTACCAGCTATACATTTTTGAGGAAAAGAATATTAACAGAAATAGATTTTTGACAAAACAAAAATATTACCAGGAAAAAAAAAGTTGTCGGCATTAAATGACCCATTGAGGTTGATATGCCGCAAAACAAAACAGACCAAACCAATCCTACTCCAAGACATTGATTTAGCTTATATTGAAAGTACAACTGAGTTTCATGTACAATACAATCTTCACATGCTTATAATGGTGATGAACTGTTTGTTAAGATCATTCATATTTTCAAAATATTTGTGTCTCACGGAAATCATGTTATGTTGTATATTAATTCTATGTTTAATAATCATATAATTGGAATCTAATATTGATGTATAGATCTGGATTCAAGATGCAAAATTATAGGGTGGGGATAAAAAAGAAGAAATAAAATAATTGAAAAAAAATTGGAGACACCAAAATATTTTTAAAATACTTGTTAAACAAAGGGATAGTGAATTCTTAACTTTATATAAGTATAAAAAAGGAAAATTCTAATAACTAATTATAAAAAATTATATATATATTAAATATTTATAGATGTAAAGATAAGAAAAATAAAAATATATAATAAATATATATAAATATAAGAATAATTAAAATATATAATAATAGAAATAAAAAATAAAAATAAAATTAAGGTGAATAAAATTATAAATATATAAAAGTAGAAGTAATATAAAAATACAGTTAATTACCAAGGAGTTAAAAACAATAACAAAAACAGGATAAAGGGGGTAATTCTATGAATTGTTACATTAATTAGGTTAACAAGAATTGAAATATTTAAGAAAGTTTTTTTCTATGAATGCATGTGGTCATAAGTTCACTTCGTTTGTTCACCAGATTGAGGTTATCAATGTGTTTCAGGATGATAAGTTTTTCCAAGAGTCACATGTTACATTTATCTCCCTTACCACTAAAAGTGTTTGGCTTTAGCTATGTAATTCCAAGTTATTAATGGGATGTAGTTATCCATCTTAATTTCCCAGTAATATTTAGAGAATGCAGTGTTGTTGGAATAAGCATCATTTTGTGTTGGTAATACCAGAATTTCTAGAAAATAAAATTTAGTTTTGCCATAATGTCTAATTCTAGCTTTATAAACAATGCATTTAAACATGCGTGTGGAATTCAATGGGCAGGTCTTGTTTTTTCTGCAGTTACAAGTATTTGATATTGTTATTGACATGGAGGTTGTTTAAATGCTTGTTTTATCTGATATTATTATGGTGAGATATATATTGTACAAGTTTTTTTTGTACAGCTATAGCTAACTTTAATGTTTTTGTTGAAAATTTTTTTCAGTATTGGGGTATGGTTGAAATGTTTATGGATTAAATTGAGAAAAATTCTACTGATGTTAGTTTTGATATTGTGGTTATGAAGACTTGTGTTTATTCCACTGGACATATCTCTGAAACTTTTTATGTTACCAGTGAGACTAAGCGAGGTTGTGTGTTGGCACCTGTTCTGTTTGCAATCTAGTTTTCTTTCATGCTAAATGTAGCATTTAATGATTTTTCTCAAGTGTAGCCTTTGTTTTTTGTTCAACAGGTGGCTTTCATAACTAACAACACCTCAAAAGCTAAAAGTTAAGTAAAACAGCAAATATTGTGTGACCTCATTGTTGATGATTGTAGCCTAGTGGCTCATTCACTTATCAACTTGTTATTCTTGATAACTTTTCTACAGCCTGCAATCAACATTAAGAAAAATGAACTACTTTACCAACCCAGATCAAATTCCTGACAATATTCCAAATGTTCTTGTTAATGATAAACACCTCAACACATTTTTTTTTATTCAATTTTGTTTTACCGTTTTATTTGATACTAAAACAAATAAAGAGATTAAGACTAGAATTAGTAAATCAAACTCTGCATTCAGAATATTCCACAAGTGTCTTTGAGACACTCATGATGATTTTCCAAGAAACAAAGTTGATGTTTTATAACAACTTTGCTGTATGGTTTAGAGTTTTGGATCTTTTACTGAAAGAATACTACTGTACTTGATAGCTTTGATATGCATTGCTGAAGACATATTTGTTGTATGAAACAGCAGAACAAAGTTATAAATGCCACCATCTTGTCAGACTGCAACATTCTTGGTGTGGAAGCACACCTTATCAAATCCCAAGTTAAGTGTTCTGGTTATGTTATTCACATGAATGACAACTTCATACCCAAGTAACTCCTGTATAGTTAGCTAAGAGATTCAAAGTGCAGGGTAGAGAGGACACTGCTTAGGCACAAGGACAAGATAAGAGATAATTTGAAAATCCTGCAGCTGGATGAACTATGAGCAGCTTTGCATGCTGGAAAGGATTGGCACAGTCAATGCTTTGCAAAACATCAATAACATTGAACAATGTAGACTTTAGTGCCATAACAATCAGACAGAGAATCAAAATTACAAAGAATATATCATGTACCAATGTCTAGTTTTGTTCCAGCTACATAGATCCAGAGTTAATCTCTTATGCTCAGAGGCACAGATGCTAGTTTTCCTATTTCTTAGTTTTCCTAAACAGTCATGTCATTTTCAACAGAGATTCCATATATAAGTATTAAGGTATGTTATATTTAAGGGTAAAAGTGGTCAATATCAGGGATAGTCTGTAAATATAAAAGTGAACAGTGAGGTCAACATCAAATGGCAACAGTTTGCTTTATGTTTGAATCCAAACTTCAGGCCATTTGTCTGTGTTGACTCAAGGTCATTGTTGGGCTCATTACAATCTTTAA